CACTCCCAGCCTCGGCATAATTTTTTACCTCTTCCCTGTTCCGCCAAAATACAATAACTAACACGCTGCCCCCCACAGCAACGGCTCCCAGTTCTTCGTCACCACCGTCGTGACCAGCTGGCTCGATGGCAAGCACGTCGTCTTCGGCGAGGTCGCCGACGAGGAGTCCCTCAACATTGTCAAGGCCCTCGAGGCTACCGGCTCCGGCTCCGGAAAGGTCAACTACAACAAGAAGCCTACCATTGTCAAGTCTGGCGAGTTGTAAATCACTCTCTCTCTTATCGAGTGAGTGTTTGATGGAACTTCATTATATCCTTCGCGGTGCTGGCGACGACTTGAGCGTAAGGTTTAGCTAGTTGCCCCGTGTGCTCAGAGATGGGCGAATAACAAAAGCTTCGGATCTTTCAGTTAGTGGTTTTTGGTGAGAAGTGTAAATGTGATGTGTGATGTGTGATTGTTGTCGTAACCTGTTGAACTCGTCAAATGACAACACTGCAGCAGTTTTAGTTGTTGCCCATTACTACCAACCCATTCAAGCTATGCAAGCTACCCTTTCTCCGCCAACAACGTCGAAACAACATAGTAGTATTTCCCTTCCATGTACGAGTCTTGCCATACCCGCGTCGCTAAAAAGTACACAGAGAGGCAGCATATCGTCACTTATGATTAAAACCAGGAATTTTTAAACTCGTACAAATTATCTCGTTAATTCCATTTATTCAACTGGCTCATGAATCGTAACTCGGCGTAATCCAATGCCTTTACCCAAACCACGCTTTCTACGAAACACTGATATGAGATGATGCACAATCCCCTCCCCCAGACCTTTGCGCACCACGAATAGCAAAGGTTTGGTTGATGTACCAACAAATTTAATCTAATTAAGGTCTCACTCTTTCGTTCCATTGTCGACTGGCCAATTATGTATGGCAACTGTAGCGTCTAGTAATTGAGTCTTTATTTCGAATTACAGATCCTGTAATCACCACTCTTATCCATAGTCTCTCTAGACTTTTTAAGTAGCACCAGTATTTTTACCCCAAATACACATCCCACATCCCACATCCCCTCCCGGCCGCCCCAAAATCACCCAAAAAGTCAGTCCAACGCCAAAAAAAAACTCCCCCGTCACTTGATCCCAAGGTATACCCCATTAACGCCCCTCCTCCCTCTCTCCGGCCCCCTCCTTCCTTTCCCCCCCCCCCCCCCCCCCCCTCCCTCCCTTTTAGAAACCCCCCCCCAACCACTCCAAAAAATAAACACAACTACTCGCCGTCACCGGCCCGCCCTCCTCACAAAGCTCAAAAACAGGACACCTCCCACACGGCGCCTCCGTAACCCCATTCCCCCTCTCCACCGCCTCCTCCCCCACAATCGGCCTCCTAACCGCCTTAAACGCTACCCCCTCTGGTCCAGCAACGACTTGCTCGATGCGCCGATCGTAGATGAGAACGTCGAGGAGGGAGGAGATGTCGTCTGCGGAGAGGGTGGTGGAGGTGATGGGGGAGGACTCGATGAAGAGGGTTAGTTCGGCGAGGGAGGGGTAGCCGCGGTAGGTCGGGGGGAGGGGGAGGAGTGTTATGGTATCTGCGCCTTGTCCCGGTGCGGGTTTGGGGGTTGGGCGACCAGCGATCCGTTTAAGTGGCCGACGCGAGGTTGATCGGTAGAAAGACCGTGCTTCGATATACTTAAACAGCACCCCCGTCAACCCCTCAATAAACGCCTCATCCAGCTCATTATCGGTATACCAAGCCCCCCCCGTGGCTTTCTCAGACGGTCGGAGGGTGGATTTTATATACATCTTCCTGGTAGGGTGTTCGACGGATTTCATATCTGAGATTAGACGTTTTGTTTCCAAAGCTTTGAGGGCGGAGCGCATGAGGGATTCGTGGAGGGCGGTTTTGTTTTTGATGGTTTTGGACCAGATTCCTTCGGTGGAGGATTCGTCGATGAGGGAGTAGACCATTTCTTGTTCGTGGGTTAGGCCGCGGTATCTGTTTGTCGTCAGTCAGTATATCTATCCTGCCTGTCCTGCTGCACCTAGAGGGGATTGCGAGGCCAGTGGAAGGGGGATTGGGTTGGGGATTAACAGTATGAAGAGGAAAGGCTTACTTAAGAGCATCTTCCAAAGGCCGATACATCCACCCCAACTGCCCATCCCTAACCATCTTAAACAGTTTCTCGTCCACAAGCCGCTGCGTCACGGCGAGAAGCAAAGCGGCGTCGCTGTCGGGTATGACTCCCATGTCGAGGATGTCCTGTTGTCGGAAGACGGTCTCGGGCTCTTCGTCTAGACATTGTTCGTAGACTTGGTTTTTGAGGATCTCGAGTTTGGCGTCGGCCGCGGTGGGGGGGGGGGAGGCCATCGTTGCGGTTGGTGTGGGTTGGTGGGTGGGTGTGAGGTAGGTGGTGGTTGGCGTGCGGCGATTGCGGGTGAGGTTGTAGTTATACCCGTGGTAAATCAGTTATTCGGAATAGCGACAGCGACGACTCTTCAAAGATTAACAAGCCGCGCTTCGCAAGTCACTTCGTGGTGAGTCGAAAGTCTGGCTGCTGGCTGGAGTTGAGATGGGAAGGCTGGCGCCGAGTAGAAATATAATTTTTGGCGGGGCAAATAAGGTAAGGTTTAGGCGAGGCGGAGAGACGAGGCTACGACGACGCGAGTTCGGTTTTGGTATGGACCATGACGTCTTGGTCTATGCTTGGGCGGCCGAGCGAGAAAGTTAGATTACAACGACGACGACGGGTTTTTCGTGATCTCAGATACTGTGACTCGGGTTATTGGACTTCTTTTTTTTTTTTGAGCTTGCTGGATAGTTGAATTGGCACAAAGAACACCACAACCATGTCAGCTCCCCCAGGAAAACGTGGACCATCAGTCCTGGTATGTTTCAGTCCCTCCACACAGCATTCAAGACCACCCATACATCTTCCGCCGCCCAATATATAAGCAGCAGTCTAATCGAGGACCAGGTCACCGACTCCCGCGAACGCCTCCCCCCCCCCCGTCAACCCGCCCGTCCCACAAGCTCCCCCAGCACCGCCCGCGCCCGCACACCCACGCGCTACATCTCCGTCGACAACGTTCTCCAAAACTCCTCCGAAATCCCGTCCGGGCAAGCGCGCCTACCGCCTCATGCACGGACAGCGCGTCCCGGCGTGCAGCGGAGTGTATCGGCTTCGAATGTATCGCCCGGGACGAGGACGTCGCAGGTTAATATACCCGGGCGCACGACGAAGGTTAGCGAGAAGCTTGTCCTCATCCCGGAGTTGGAGGAGGGGAGGGAGATAGAGGAGGGTGTTGCGGATGGGACGTTTCGGAGGGGTTATGTGGAGGAGAGCGAGGATGAGGGGAGGCCGCTCCGGAACGAGGAACTGGATGAGCTGAAGAGGAAGGGGGCGTTGAGGGGGAAGAGTTATGCGGAGCGCCTTCCGAAAGCGAAACGGACGGAGAAGGTGGCGAGGTGTACGGCGTACTGTACGGCGCAGGGATTTAAGATGGCCGCCACGGCGGCGTTTGTGAAGGAGCAGCATGGGGCGAAGACGAAGCTGTATGACGACTGCTTGTACACTGTGTACCATCTCCCGCTCCTGCCGGGGAACGAGGGGTATCGGTTGCGGAGTAGTCCGATTCTCAAGCATCCGGGCGGGAAGGCAGTGCTGGATGAGGAGATTGAGAGGAGCGAGGCGAGGGTGTATCATGAGGGCTATTTTGAGGATACGGATGTGTATGGTGTGCGTGGCGGGGAGGAGAGCCCGGCGGGGGAGAGCGAGGATGATAGGGTGAGGAGGGAGGATGAGGAGAGGAGGGGGAGGGAGGAGGAGCGGGTTGCGGCGCAGGGGAAGAGGGGGGATAGTCCGAATCGACTCGCTCCGGACGCTACCACTTTTGCCGAGATGTTCGTTTTCTCCTACGGCGTGGTGGTATTCTGGAATTTCACGGAGAGCCAGGAGAAGGACACGCTCGCCGACTTCACCTTCACCGAGATGGAGACAGGGCAGTCGATCATATCGCGGCCGCAGGACGAGGCGGACTTTGAGACCGAGGAGCTGCATTTCGAGTATAGCTCGTTTGTGGATAGGCCGAGGGTGTTTAATGACATGATCACGCTGAGGAGTGGGGATCATATGATTAAACTTGCGATGAGCCATGCGATTGCGCAGAGTACGAAGTTGAGCTTTTTCGAGGAGAAGATGTCGCAGACAATGCTGGATGCTCAGCATGTCCCGAAGCGGCTGGCGCTGACGGGGGAACTGGGGATGTCTCGTCCGGAAGTTGTGAAGATCCTTGGGCGGTTGTTCAAGAGTCGTGTTGATGTGAATCTCTGTGAGTATTTCCCTTGCTCCCTGACACCTACCATGAGGCCCCAGGTTGTCGAATAGTTACTGATATCCAACAGCATCCAACATCCTCGACGTCCCGAACTTCTTCTGGGACTCCGAGCCCACTCTCCACCCCCTCTACTTCGCCGTCCGCGAATACCTCGAGATCACCCCTCGCATCAAGGTCCTCAACGAGCGCTGCCGCGTCTTCCTCGAGCTCGCCGAGATCCTCACCGACTCCATCTCCGACACCAAGATGAGCAACATCACCTGGATCATCATCTGGCTGATCGCCGTCAGCATCGTCGTCACCGTCTCGGAAGTGGTGTTACGCTTTGGGATGTTGCAGAGTGGACGGAATACAAACGTACCTGGTGTTTGTGGCCTCGCTAGGGTGGGGGTGTATGGAGGTGGGAATAATAATTTGACGAGGATAAGAGAGAAGTTGACGGAGGATGATATGCAGCAGTTGTGTGGGATGCCTTATATCCAGACGACGTATAAGGATTTGTGAGCGGCTACCCCGGCGAGCTTGTGGTTGTCCAAAAAGAAAAAAGGCCCCTTAACCGACATTTGAACGCCCACCCCCCGTCGCCAAATCATCAACATCGCCCCCCTCGCCCCCCTCCTACCCCCGTCTCTTCCCTCCCTCGACGTCCAAAAAAAAACCAAAAAAATGGCCCGATCCAGACTCGAACTGGAGTTCTCCATCATTCCTCAATCAACCGCAGACTCGAGATATCCAAAGGTGCGAGCCTGAAGGTATCCAAGATTGGTTGATCAACTGAGGGATGGAAGTCTTAACCGCTAGACCATCGGGCCTGTGGAATTAGAGGGGGCTCGGTGAGAGGGGTATATAAGGTTAGGCGGCAGGGATTTTTTTCTTTGTTCGGTTTAGGTGGGGCGGCGCAGGCGGCAGGGGGGCGGGCGGCGTAAGCGGTGGGTGTAGGATTAGATAATTCGTGTTTGGGGGGGCGGGCGGCGAGTTGTGGTGTTGTGCCTGGAGACGCTGGGGTGTGGGATGGGAGTATTGGGGATTGGCGTTGAGCACACGGTTGAGTCATTGATTATTCCATAGAAATCAATTCTACGTTTTCATATTCCTGTATTCCCTCCCACCCCCTTTATGTGAAGCTCCTTTATATAAAGACCCGATCATACCTACAAATTCCAATTCACAGCCTCCCCCTCCCTCCCAGACTTCTTTACATCCCACTCCCCTTTAATAACATCAATCAGCAACTTCAGCGCCTCTGCTGCGAAATTAACCATATTCTCTGCCCGGTCCGCGGAGCCGGTGTCTACTTCCCGAGTGAATGTGCCTTCGGGGGTTGAGACGGCGAGGGCTACGTAGCCGCTGTTTGTTTATTAGTTTTGTTTTCCCTCTCATCTACACTTGCCGCAGTCCAGTTGGCAGTCTCTGGCTTTATAATAGATACGACGGAGAGACAGGAAACTTACGGAGTACGGTTCTTAGTTGTTCCCCCAGTGGGACCAGCAGTGCCGGACTCGCAGATGGTGTATGTGCTGTCGAGCTTCGGACGGACGTTCTCTGCCATTTTGGAGACGACGCTGAGGGTTGGGCCGGTGTAGGATTTGGTGTCCTCTTCTGTCCATCCGGCTAGGGGATGTTAGTTTTGCTGTGCTGGCTGGATATGGTGCATAGACGGGATATCTCTAGGTCTTGATGGGCTTCGGGGGGTGCCCGAGGATATAGCAAATAAGAGTATAAAGGTATGGACTGGAGAGGATGGGCTGGATGACTTACCAAATTGCACTCGTGAAGGGAGAGTGTACAACTTCCTCAATATCAGCTTCCATCCTTCACCTCTCCCACAACCCTACTTCTCCCATTCCTTCGCCCATCCACATTCCCCCCTCAAAAACCACCCGCAGCAAGGAGCCCACATACCGTCAACCCGCCCTTGTAAAATCTGCTCGCACCCGGTGTGCTCAGCAATGCAGCCGAGATTATCCCACCGGCAGCCTGCACAACCTATCAGTCAGTACCTTTACATACCCAACTTGCCAGTCTGAAACTCGCTGCAATGAATAATGTAGACGGATAAAAAAGGTAGAGACCACATGACCACCGAGAAGCACGGATGGCTGCGTAACATATGAAAGAGACACCGGAATAGATGGGAAAATAAGTCACATGAGGAGCTTTACGGGGATATATAAATGGTATACGCACCGTCTCAGCCACAGAAACAGTTTCATTCCGTCCCCGGAGAAGCTCGGCGACTTCTTCAACAAGAGGCACCAGGGACCGAGGTGGGAAAGAAGGATTCAAGCCGAACATTTCAGCGTTGTGTAGTTATGATATCTGTAATTCAACAGGTGGCGGGAGGACCGGAGGGTGAGGGGGGATAGAGTGGTATAGTTATCCCGTGCTGGATTAGTAACGGGTGTGGACCCCTATGATGGTGTTGGCAGGCATGACGTGGAAGCTTTGCGGCCCGATGCACGAGATGTATGGCGGGTATGGTATGGAGAAACAAATGCATGACGGGTTGGGATTATATTGGTTTATATCACGGATTATGGGGATTTGGGTGGGTTTGGACGGGTTGATACAGGTAGACAGTGGAATTGAGGTAGGTAGGCTTTTTATTTTGTGTATTATATTAATTTAAATATCCAAAATATAAAATAAAGACAGTAGAGCATTGAATATATACTATTTTAATAACTTGTAGGGGAATTAATTGTAGAGCAAGTTTGTAAATAAAGAGAAGATATAGAAAACACTTTAATGAAAAATTGAAGGGATTAAAGCATCGCCAAGGGTGGCTTGCTTTAGAATTTGGGTGCGTGCATAGCAAACTTACCGTATATCTGCTTCCAGGAATACATGTATAAATGCAGCGCCATATAGAAACATTCGATACCAACAAGTTTGGCATCGCCACAACCATGTCTTCCTCTCGCTGGATCCCCCAGAGTCCCCCCCAACGAAGGAGGAGCCACATGAGCCGGCATACCTTTCTACCTCCCATGATGTGGAGGGGTTCCATCGCTCCAGACCGCCATTCGGTGATGGTTATGAGGGGAGGAGATAGAGAAAGGAGTTTCTTCTCTGATCTAACGATCGGAGAGCCGAGAAGACCGCACGACAATAGACGGACGTCCATGAACGTGGGATATCCGAGGTTTCCGAACACGTCGGAGTACCCGCCTCCCCCGGGCTATCCGTATTACGAATGGGACGAATTTTACGATCCTCAGCCACCGACAGGTCCACGCCATGATCATCCTCCCCGGCCAAGACGTGATTCTCATGTCGAGCGAGAGAAAACGCACGACGTTGCCGCCAACTTTGGCAGCGCGTGCGGCAAGTTGTTCCAGCAGCTGGAGCAAGCCGAACAATTCTATCATAATTTCCAGCAGGAGTTCGACACTGAGGTTACTTCCATCAAGAAGTACGCGGGCGATGGTATCTTGAGGGAGCTGTGGTCTCGCCGTATCGGAGTTCCATCGTCCCGCCGAGACTCAATCAAGAGTGAAGAGGAGGTCACCGAGTGGGAGGACCAATTACGAAAGCCCTGCCAAAAGTTTCGAATCCAGGCGACGAAGTTGGACATGTGTCTACAAAAGGCAGCTACTGCCACGATTCCAATCCCCAAATCGATAAAGGACGAAACAAGCGTCGACTCAGCAAAGCTGCTTCAGGACAAGATCGAGACTTCTGGAGAAGGGATTCGGTCTCTTCTGGGAAAGGTATACCGTTCCAGGCAGTATTGCTCTGAGCTGGTGAAGGAACTAGGACAGCTGAAGTCGCTTGTTGATCCCCATAAACCTCAAGGATTTGACGAGCAAGAAGATGACGCCGGCAGTAATGATGTTGAATATGGACCAGTGGCAGATACTGCTCCTGGCAATAGTGCTCCGAGCTGGTGAAGGAACTAGGCCAGCTGAAATCGCTCGTCGATCCCCAGAAATCTCAAGAATATGACGAGCAAGAAGATGGTTTCGGTAGCAATGACGTTAAATATGGACCAGCGGAAGATCTTCAATTCTGAGGCATGTTGATAGAGCGCGTAGCTCCTATGTTGATACTGCCATCTCGATCGCGGGGTTATACTAAATTCAAAATCACCAAAAATATTAGTAGTATCCCATACCTCGGTGAATACAAATCCCACATACCTGAAGAAAAAAAAAGTGGAGCGTCGTCCCCAACAGAGTAATCAGAATCGAATTGTACCAGCTCTACAGCAACAAGTCGCCATAGAGCCAGCACGTTGCGTATTGTACTTAAGTGTCATGCCTCTATAGTCACCGAACCCCGCCATCTCCCCTCCCCTCTCGGGTCAGGCATCAGGCAAGGCCACGGCGGTTCATCTGACATACACGATCTTCGCAATAGCCCTCCCATAGGAACGAACACACGCGCCCTCTTCTCTCTTTCAAGATATACAAGACCGGGGCCCGCCCTGCTTTTCTGATGCCAATTGCAGACGTGAAACACGCCAGGCCGTTACCGGCAGACCTATGCACCTTCCGAGGAAGGGAGTGAGGTGTTTTGAAGATTACTCCGAATTTCTCATATGCAAATAGAATTGATCCAAAGATCTGTGACACGGAGCTTGCGCAGGTATCTGTTTGTAGCATAGAAACGCAACGTTGAGGGGGACGACGCTGAAGAGGAAAGAAAAGAGAAGAGAGCTTCGCGAGCTATTGCAAAATATATTGTGACTCTGCGGCCGCGTGCCCCGCTTTGCCTCGGCTGCGGGTAAATCAACGCTAATAGGCGCCACAATCGGTTGTGACGTCACGTGTGTAGCCGTTGACGCGTGCATGTCTGGCGCAGCAGATCAAGGTGAAACTATAGAATGCCAATAGGGAGCTTCTGGAACTTTTCAACCACAACTTCTCTCTCCGCTGTCAGAAATTCCGAATACGATATAATTCCAACTACTGAAACCTCACAATGTGTAAGCAAATCTACCCAGGGCAAAAAGACATGAGGGAGGATGCTAACACCCTCCAGGTATCGTCTTCACATGTGGCGAGCATGAGTTCTCCTCAGAATTGAAAGGTTACGAGGGCGTTACCTGCCAATGTCACAACTGTGTAAGTTCAAACCCGAATCCCCTGGGCCCAGCCTTTGGATATTGTGGCAGGGCGATCTCATTGTACTGTACGGAACATCACTAACTGGTGTGACTACAACAGGGTAACCACTCGGCGACAGTGATGAAGCGGTGGAACTGGTTCACATTCTGCTTCGTGCCCATTCTCCCGCTCTCTACGCACGCCTATAAAGATGTTGTCTGTCGGATCTGTGGCTTTGCGCAACCCCTAGAGTACGTCTCCCCTGAATCTGTCTGCGCAATGAGAATATTAGCTGACCTTTGGCCCCCATAGTAACCGACAAGACGTCCAACAACAACACAGAGGAGCGGGTAACGAGATGCAGCCTCAAGGCCAGCCTGGGCCTTGGCATAATCAGCAGCCTGGATGGGGTCCACCACAAGGTCAACAACAGCCTGGTGCAAAGACAAACATGACGTACGGATAAACGGGCACTTAGTGACCGAGACATGCGTTCATGGCACTAGTTGGCCAAGATATGCGTTTGTGGGGAGGAGGGTCATTTCAAGTAAGGCGTTTTGGGTTGGGATGCCATAGGGCTGGGAAAGCCATTGGTTTTTTCTGAGGGGACAAGACAATAAATACCAATGTCGTCGTCGTTTCCAGGCTCATAATTTTGAGTTGGGTACACGCTGTAACTTAGCAGCTTCTTCCCGTGTGTGCCACGCGGTGTACTATAATAATATCTGACTTTCTTATTCCTTCCGGGGGTTCATCACTAT